TACAAGCAGCTGGCTGAAGTCTCACAATTGCCAGCCCTTGTTCTGGTAGGGGACTTCAACCGACCAGATGTCTGCTGGAAATATAACACAGCAGAGAAGAAACAGCCTAGGAGGTTCCTCGAATGTGTGCAAGATAACTTCCTGACACAGCTGGTAAGTGAGCCTACCAGGGGAGGTGCCTCGCTGGACATCCTGCTCATGAACAAAGAAGGACTAGTGGGAGAAATGGTGGTCGGAGGCCATCTTCGGCTTAGTGATCATTAAATGTTTAAGTTTTCAATTCTTAGTGATGTTAGGAGGGGGGTTAGCAAAACCTCCACCTTGGACTTCCAGAGGGCAGACGTTGGCCTGTTCAGGACATTGGTTGAGAGAGTCCCTTGGGAGACAGTCCTGAAGGGCAAAGGGGTCCAGGAAGGCTGGATGCTCATCAAGAAGGAAATCTTAAAGGCCCAGGAGCAGCTGTCCCCATGTGTTGTAAGATTAAAGGGTGGGGAAGACAGCCAGCCTAGTTAAAAAGGGAGCTATTGCTGGGACTTAGGAAAAAAAGGAGGGTTTACCACCTTTGGAAGAAGGGACAAGCAACTCAAGAGGACTACAGAGATCTCATTAAGTCATACAGAGAGAAAATTAGGAAGGCAAAAGCCTAGCTGGAGCTCAACTTGGCCACTGACATAAGGGACAACAAAAAAGGTTTTATAAATTAATAAAAAATAAAAAGAGAGCCAGGGAGAATCTCCATCCCTTACTGGATGCCAGGGGGAACATTGCAACCAAGGATGAGGAAAAGGCTGAGGTACATAATGACTTCTTTGCCTCCATCGTTAATAGTCAGACCAGCTTCCCCCAGGGTGTTCAGCCTCCTGAACTGGAAGATAAGGACGGAGAGCAGAATAACCCCCCTGTAATCCAGGAGGAAGTAGTTAATGATCTGCTTCTGCACCTAGACACTCAAAAGTCTATGGGACCAGATGAGATCCACCCTAGAGTGCTGAGGGAGCTGGTGGGGGAGCTTGTGAAACTTCTCTCCATCATTTCTCAACAATCCTGGTCAACAAGGGAGGTCTCAGAGGACTGGAGGCTGACTAATGTAAATGCCCATCTACAAGAAGGGCCTGAAGGAGGATCCAGAGAACTAAAGGCCTGTCAGCCTGACCTCGGTACCGGGAAAGATCATGGAGAGGCTCATCTTGAGTTAGCTCATATGGCAAGTGCAGAATAGCCATGGGATCAGGTCCAGCCAGCATGGGTTTATGAAAGGGAGATCTTGCTTGACCAACCTCATCTCTTTCTATGACCATGTGACCCACCTTTTGGATGAGGGGAAGGCTGTGGATGTTGTCTACCTGGACTTTGGTAAGGCCTTTGACACCGTCTCCCACAGCATTCTCTTGGAGAAGCTGGCAAATCATGGCACAGACAAGTGTACTCTTCACTGGGTAAAAAACTGGATGGATAGCTGGGCCCAGAGAGTTGTGATAAACAGGGTAAAATCTAGTTGGCGGCCAGTCACCAGTGATGTCCCTCAGGAATCAGTTTTGGGGCAAGTCTTGTTCAATTTCTTTATCAGTAATCTGGATGAGGGGATTGAGTGCACCACTGGTAAGTTTGCAGATGACACCAAATTGGGTGAGAGTGTTGATCTGCTTGAGGGTAGGAAGGCTCTACAGCGGGACCTGGCTAGGCTGGATCGATGGGCCAAGGCCAATTGTATGAGGTTCAGTAAGGCCAAGTGTTGGGTCTTGCATTTTGGTCACAACAACCCCATGCAATGCTACAGGCTTGAGGAAGAGTGGCTGGAGAGCCGCCCAGCAGAAAAAGACTTACAGGTGCTGGTTGACAGACAGATGAACGTGAGCCAGCATTGTGCCCAGGTGGCCAAGGCCAACAGCATCCTGGCCTGTATCAGGAATAGCGTGGCCAGCAGGAGTAGGGAAGGGA